CCTCCGTTCTATAGAAGAGGGAAAAAACAAAGAGCTCCCATCTTTAACTAACTGGTTAATTCATTCCTCGTGGGACTGAGCTGTGGTAAGGCGGTATAGGAAAATCTTTTCCAATGATTCTGACATTTTTTGTGCTGACCTATCTTACCGAGTAAAGTTGAAGCTAAAGAAACGAATATCCTAAGAGTCAATGCAAACAGTTGTTGCATCAGCTAGCTAAAAAACACCTGAGTTCCACAGCTGGATTATCCAAGAATAATTGGAAGCTTAATCAACCACGAGAGTCTTTGCTTCATTATGAATGCTATTGTTTTGAGGTTTCTTTCCTGGTTTACGACTACTTTTTGAGTTCCTGTCTCCTTCTAAAAAACTACTGTATTCGTGTATATGTAGGCATAGATAAACTAATTCAGCAATTAACCTCAAGCATCCAAAACAACAACAATGACTAAAAAAGCAATGGGTTCCTTAATATCTCTTAAGTGTTAAAATGAATAAGTACCTGCAATCCTGGGAACAAGTACACGAGAGCGCCTAAGAGCATCTAAAATCTTCTTAGGATTACTCAGCCGAATCAAGTCCTTCAAATCCTCATTCTTAAAAGCAGCAGGAATCCCAAAACAAGCAACGAAAGCAAGCAAACCCCTTGCATCAATCTCCCCAGCCTTAGCCAAACCTCCCTCAGCAATCAGTCTCTTCCTCCACCCAATTGCTCCCTTCTCTGCCTCCTCCTTCACAGATGGCTCAATCTCGATCTCCCCCTCGTTGCAGTTTCCCAGCATCATAAGAAAGAACTCCAGAACCAAAACGGACGCTTGCCTTGCCGGAATCATAGGAGAGTCCTTGGTGTAGGCTTTGATGCCCTGGAGATAAAATCTCCCAATGCAATCCAACACGAGCTTAGCCGGCTTCGGAGCCAGCTTGATCGCCGCAGGAGCCTCCTCGCGGAGTCTAGGGATATCAGACAGATGCGTGACAACGTACTTGCGAAGACCGCGGCTGCACATCGTTTGGCAGAGGGACCGAAGTTCCGAGCCATTACTGGATTGGGTTTCTGGTTTTTTGGCTGTCACATCCTTTGTTGCGCCCATTTGTTGTGACGTAGGATTTGCCTCAGAGGGAACGGCTGCCGGAATTTGTGGGTGAATCTGCGAGGGGGAGGTAGTGGCGGCTTTGAACTTGGTATCAATGGCGGTTCGAATGAAATCCAGGTGCTTTTGCAATTCATCGAATCTCCGACTGAAGGTGTCAATGGCGGAGGAGAGAGGGCCGAGCTGTTCAACGGCCTTGAAAATTTGTGGTAGCTGGGGCTCTGACTGGGTTTCTTGTTGTAGTGCTAAGATGATTGGAATTAGGTCGATGGGTTCTGCTTTCGGATTCAAGAAAGCTTGCTGGTCGTAATGGTGTTTCTGCGACAATGAAGGTCGAGTTGGTGATTGCTGCTCCTCCTTCATGATGGGCGAAGAAGAAGAGTTGGAGATGATAGGGTCGGAGGACGATGTCATGAAATAGTGGGTATATACATATATCTATGGGTGTGTGTATTATTTTAGAACCCTAAATAATTTGCACTTCCCAGTTCCCCCAAATACGTTAGAGCTCACTACCCTTCCATCCCAGGGGAATAAATGCATGTAAATTAGAAAAAATTTTATTTGGGTTTAAAAAAAAAAAAAGTGATGAAATTAACAAAAAAAAAAAAACACAATTATTTTTATAAAAAAAAAATTGAATATATGCATATTATAAATATTGTTTATTTGTGCTATTACATGTATTTATTGTAAGTATTTTTTAAAAAAAAAAAATTTTGCTGTCATATATAATTAATCAAAAAATAATTAAATAAATTAGTTAAAATAAAAATTAAAATCTAAAATGTTAAGAATATCATTTTAAAAATTTAGTATGTATATTAAAGTAGCAATTAAGAATTAAATAAAAATTTGACCAAACAAGTCTGATTCCAATTAATTACATCATAAAAACTTTAAACAATTTTTTCATCAGCTAATCATTAAAGAGTAGAGAAATAGAAAACAATTGCCATTAGATATACAGGAGGGTTGGAGCATTGCTCGAAGCAACCCTCCATAAGTTCTTCACTTATATACACTTGAATCAATTAACAGACCCAGATTCCAAACAAAAATTTCTATACCATGTACATGAATCAAGATGGTATGTATGGTGAAACAACACATGCATGACTAGAAAATGGAGGTAGTATCAGGCAAGGGAATGCTCCGATCAGATTTATTTTTGACAACCGGGTTTCCAGTAGCATCGAGATCAATAACAGCAGTGTCACCAGGCTTGAAATTCCCAGCAAGTAATGCTTCACTCAACAGATCTTCCACCATTTGTGTTACTGCCCTCCGTAAAGGTCGGGCGCCATAAGTTTGGTCGTACCCTTGTTGGCATATCAGGTCTTTGACGGAATCAGATACCTCCAAACCGACACCAAGAGACACAAGTCTCGCCTTTACTGCTTGCAGCATCAGGTTTAAAATTTCCAGCATCTAAAGTAAACAGAGGAGAATGTGACTGTCAGCTTCACAAGCTCGAAAAAAAGAGCAGATGCCATTTGACACACAGGTTATTTAGCAACATCTTCAGAGAATACTGTAGCAGATGGTGACATACCTGAGTCTTCTCGAGGGACTGGAATACGACTATTTCATCTATCCTGTTGAGAAGCTCTGGACGAAAATAAGTCTTGAGTTCTTCTACAACCAGTGCTTTCATACCAGCATATGATGTTGACTCATCATCTGCAAGCAAGAAACCAATGGCACCTCGTCTACCCTTTGCGATAGCAGAAGAACCCACATTTGAAGTCATCACTATTAAGGCATTCTTAAAAGATACCCTCCGACCCTGTGAAAGCATTCTTGAATTAGAGACTGAATTATCAAAGATTATCACGTCAAATTACATAAATTCTCACAAAAGGATCTAATATTTTGAGGTTTCTTTCTTTCCTCTAAGATCTAAAGACATACTTTTTATGCTACAAAACCCAATTATCCGTCACCCCTTAAAATTTCATATTCTTGGCAAGTGTTTTACTACTTACAGGAGGAACAAACCTGGGAATCAGTAAGATGGCCATCTTCAAACAACTGAAGAAGGATGTTGAATACATCTGGATGAGCTTTCTCTATTTCATCCAGCAACAACAATGTGAAAGGCCGCCTTCGAATAGCTTCCGTAAGCATGCCTCCCTCTTCATGACCAACATAACCTGGAGGTGATCCTATTAATTTGCTCACAGTATGCCGCTCCATATATTCACTCATGTCCAATCTTAGCATGGCTTCCTCCTGTAACATTATCACAAATGGGAGAGGACAAAAATCAAAATCATAATCATGTTAAACAAATTTTTTTTTTTTTTTTTTTTTTTGTAGCAGGACTAAATTAAGTTAACTAGAAACTGAAAAGCCCTGTGCAACTGAGATGCGACATATTTCAAAATCTTCTCCCTGAATTCACCACTGACCTCTCCCGGAATCAATTTCTCATTTTTTTTTTCTCATTATTGGTTGTCTGTCCCTTATCACAATCATCAGCCAGGAACATTTATTATCATACTAAGTGAGTTTAGTTTTGACTCGAGAAAAGAAGTCTTTATAACCTGTATATATCAAATTCAATATTGCGGAAATGAGGTTCAGGATATATAACTTTTAGTTCCATCGATTAAAATTTCCTGTCCGCTCCCAAACTTGAAGCTGACAATACGCCACCTTTCTTCATAAGGAATGACAAATATGGCAATTTGGCTCCAGATAGATGCATCATGTGCACAAATAGAACATTTAACCCACTGACAAAATATTGATCCATGGTCTGAATCCAGCTAGCGCGGTGGCAGACAATGTGAGAAGAGGAAGTCAAGAAATTAAAAGGGAGAAATCGCGTGAACTGGTTACACTTCCACCGCCAGTCACATGTCATGTGCTTTTCTTCCAAAGTTCTTTTGATGCAATTGGATGGGAGGTTTTGCAGAGGACAACTTCATAAAAATTAAGTTTCAACTCAAAACCTATATGGTTCTACAAAGACATTATCAAGTCCAAATTTAACAAGTTCTTTAGTTTTGCAAATTGCATAACCAGAAGTAAATACTTCCAAAAAGGCAAATAAACACTCCAAAAATTAAATTTTAATTAATTACAAAAATTATAAAATAGAGAATTTAAAAGAAAAAGCACAGAGCCCTTACCGACCCAAAATAGCATGATGCCAAAGCCTTTGTTAATTCAGTTTTGCCGACCCCAGTTGGCCCACAAAAGAGCATAGCAGCAACAGGCCTATCAGGATCCTTCAACCCAACCCGTGACCTCTTCACAGCTCGAGAAATAGCAGCAACAGCCTCATCTTGACCAATAATCCTTTTCTTAAGCTGCTCATCAAGCTCAACCAGAAGCATTCTTTCATCAACAGTGAGCTGCTGGACTGGTATTCCAGACCAGGCAGAAGCAACTGCTGCAATATCCTCAGGTCCCACCACCATAGGTCTGAAAAGGGTCAAAACCTCAGTTAGAAAATAATGTGAGATTTGTATTTATTTCATGGTCAAGAAACATACTCGTCATCATCTGAAGTTGAAGGCAAAGGAGAATCTAAAACGAGTTCGCTAGTATCATCTATGCTGGAAGCACTACCATCATGTTTTAGCCTACTTGCTAGGACCTGTAAACCATGATGTAAAAGTATAAATAAGGGATATAAGCGGGTCATGAAGATAATTACACTATGAATGCAGTGTCATTACCACTTCTTGCATGGCCTGAACAGTCCTAATCTCTTGCCAGTAATCATCTGGAGGCTTTGCGAGTATACCAGTTTGCTGTTCCTTTTTCTTCTTAAATGCCTCAATACGAGCTCTACTTCCAGCTTCATCAATAAGATCAATTGCTTTATCGGGAAGATACCTATCAGGAATGTATCTTGATGACAGGTACACAGCAGCATTTATTGCCTCTAGTGTGTAAGTGCAATTGTGGTGAGTCTCATATTTCTCACGCAGACCCAAGAGAATCCTCACTGCATCCTCCTAAAGATTATGAAAAATGGTCAAATAAGACTATTAAATGTAATTATGTAAAATTGGACAAAAATTGCAAATTGAAAACAACCTCGCTTGGTTCATTAATTAACACCGGCTGGAATCTCCTTGCTAATGCTTTATCCGTCTCAAATTGGGTCCGGTACTCGGCAAGAGTCGTGGATGCAATACACTGCACTTGACAGACAGATTGTTATTGCACAATGGCTACAGCATAAAATGGATAAAGTGAACCAACAAAACTCGATTAAAGCAATTTCACTCACTAAGAATGAATTGCTATTCTAGTATAAAACTCTGGAAAACTTCCAAAAGAGAACACAAAATCAGAAAAAAAAAGAAAAAAAAAAGCAGTAAAGCAAATTAAAGAGGATTTTCCTTCCAAGTTCCAGTGTGACTACAAATTTGTAGAATCAATTGATTAGTAACTAAATTAGGCAACAATATGAGAAAGAACAAAGGCATAACAGGCATAACCAAACTGCAGTGAACTTTCCTTAAACAAAGATTTCAGAAGATTTCAGAATTGATCAAATAGATCATATAAAATAAATTCAGTTCTGTTTGCAGTGTCCGTAGTTCAATGTATTCACATAGAAAAGTTCTCATGGATTCTATCTGGCAAAATTACCTCACCTCATATTCCCTATCATGCTCGTGAAGACCACACTCAATCATGCCTAGTAGCTGGATTTAAACATTGATTCCACATTTTTTTGTGTTAAAGCTACCATCATATATAACATGTCATACATCTAGTGTCTTAGACCACATTTATGACATTGTTAGGCAGATACAAGCATAATTAGATGAGAAACAATCACCTGTAATTCACCCCTCCCAAGGGATGGTTTCAATAGATTAGCAATGTCAAGACCAGATCCCTTGTTTCCCCGTCCAACTGTTCCAGACCCAACAAGTGTATGGACCTCATCAATAAAAAGGATGACATCACCTGCAAGCCAACAATATTAAAAACAAGCTACTAGAAAATCCTTCATCTCTTTATTTTTTTTGGAGTGAAAAAATCCTTCATCTCTTTAAAGCAAGTCGTCAGGTCTTCTCACCTGATTTTTTTATCTCGTTTAGCAATGAAGTAACCCGTGACTCTAATTCTCCCCTTTCCTTAGCACCAGCCATCAGAAGCCCAATATCCAAGGACATTACACGTTTTCCCTGCAGGCAGAACCGTAAAGCTAATAAGATCTATGACTTCATCAGAACGAGTAACGAACTAGAGAAAAAAACAAGAGCATCCATCACTCCAGAAGAAACACACCAACAGAGAAACAGGAGCATCTGCCCGTGCAATGCTAATTGCCAGTCCTTCAGCAATGGCTGTTTTTCCAACCCCAGCTTCACCAAGAAGAATGGGGTTATTTTTGGTTCTGCGACAAAGTATCTGAATGATTCTCTGAACTTCAGTCAATCGGCCAATAACAGGATCAATAAGTCCTTCACTAGCTCTAGCAGTGAGATCCACACAGAATTGTGCCAAAGCATTTTTCTCTGGAAAGCAAAGGAGAATCACAATAAACATTCTCTAATCTTACCAAGAAACTATATAGAGAAAAGGAAATGGATATGCTACCTTTTGTCCTTTCAGAGGTTCTCGTACCTGAAACTTTCCCAGGAAAGCTCCCTTTAGATGCCACGGACGGTTCTCTCCCATCTTTGGCAAGCTCCCCTTGAAGCCTGGAGAGTGCTGCAGCTGCGAGGTTGTTTACATTTGCCCCCAGTCTAAGACCATATAAATAGACTTAATTAATGCAAAATAAGCAACATAACCCGCTTCATTAACCATATTAAGTCCAACCATCTTCATGAATCATTAAAAATCCAAATAAATCACTCACGATACTTGGTTCCCAGGCATTTAAGTAACATCACAATGATTATGACCCCAATTGCATAAGAATTTTTAAAAGGCAAAATAAACCCAACAAGTAGGATTCCAGCCACCTAGTTCAAACTAGGAGCATTAATATCTGTGATACCCAAAAAGCTCAGATAATCTCAGTTAAATTACCTTTTGAGGACCCGGGTGGCACTGCCATCATCGACGGTGAGGAGACCAATGGCAATATGTTCAGGGCCGATGAAATGGTGACCCATAGTCCTCGAATACTCAACTGCAGCCTCAAAGACCCGCTTTGTACTGATAGAAAACGGCACGTCCGTTGACTTTGAAGAAGAAGCAACCGACTGTTCAGGCGAGGAAGAAGAAACTGAATTATCACCCTCTTGATGATGATGTTGATGCCAAATGCTGCGAACAGCTTCCCGGGCCTTGTCAATGGTAAGGCCACAGCCAAGGAACCCACGTGGGTCGCGATCCTCTGCGATTAAACCCAGTAGTAGATGTTGGGTAAAGACCATGTCTTTGCCAAAGGCTTTGGCTTCCTTTTGAGAAAAGATGACAGCTTTTATTGCACGTTCAGTGAAGCGCTCGAAAACAGCAGAGACTGGCAAGAATTTTCTTCTTCCGCGCGAATGAGAATGTTTGACAGAAGGAAAATTGTGGGAGAGACGTGGGTGGGTCTTCTGAGAAATCGAAAAACCAAAAGAAATAGAAGAGGAAACAGCACCATTAAACGAATGAAAAGGCAAACATGGATCAAAACGATGAGAGCGAGAGAAAACGCAACAGGAGTGAAGTGAAAGCGGAGAAGAAGAAAAAGCTTCCATCCTCTGTTGATTAGAACTGGATTGAATACCAAAAGGACATTAGAAAGAAAAAGAAAAAGAAGATGGAAAATAAAAAGAGTGAAAAAGCAAATGGGTAGAAGGATATTTAGCGGGTTGGTGGAGGGAAGGAAGAAGAGAGGAAGAAGAAAGGAATGGAGAAAGATAACACGTCAAGGCACGCAAGAGTTTTATTGGGTTTTGTATAGGTCCAAATCTACATAGAGAAAAATGAAAGGAAAAGTAGGGGAAAAGGGTGGGGGCTGAAAAAACTGATCACGGAAGCAAAGGAAGCCGTAGATAAGTACAAGGATCGGTGGAGATAGTATAGATACCCAAAAATGGTGTCCTTTTCAGGCCAGATAGAGCCAGTATCAAGGGGTTATACTTAGATTTGTCTGAGTTGAGCTTAGTTGACCGATGTATATTGATTTGTCCTTGCGGGCGTTCCGGCATTGAACACGTTTTTTTACTCCGGGAAATCAACAGTGGAAACAGCAGAAAACTCCGGGAAATCAACAGTGGAAACAGAAGAAAACAGCGGCATTAGTAGTTGGTGTAAGTTAGAAATGGGGGCATAAAATAGACAAAACAGTTGGGTATGATCGAAGATTTATTCATGTGTACAACACTAACTTGTACTGAAATCCACGCGCGGAGAGAGAGAACCTTTTGGTTTGTTTGTTGATGTTTTAGTAAATTATGCAGAGATTTTTCTAAAATCTGAGGGTAGTTTCAGTAAAGGTACTATTTTCTAAAAGTAATAGTTTTACTCCTAATGTTAAAAAAAAAAATTAAAACTTTAGAAAAAAATATAAAATGGGTGGAAAAACTTATTGTAATTTTAAAATTTTTAAAATAAAAAATAAATAAAAGGATTACAAAATAAAAAATGGGTAATAAAAATTTATTGTAATTTTAAAGATTTTAAAATAAAAAAAAATGACCTTTAGTCTAAAAAATAATAGAAATTGCGATTTTATTAAAAAATTCATTATAAAGCATAATAGTTTCTTGTTTACAGCTTGTCGTTTAATATCTATTTCATAAATTATGTAGAGTAAAATAAAAAAATAAAAATTAGAGCTATAAATAATTCTCAAAAAGAAGTTCTCGAAAAATTTTTATCCTGATTGAAGTGGATCGAACTCAGTTCAACTTCTATATCTGAAGAAGATGGTTAAAACTTAAACGATAAAAAAAAAAAAAAAAAAAAAACAATCCTAAAATCCAACTCATCTTTTTAGAAGAATTTTTGGTAAGGTTTAAAAAAAAATTAAAAAGATCCCGCCCTGTTTACAAGCCAAAAATGATAATAATAATAACCTACCACTAACAACTATTTTACAATTAAATAGTTCGTACTTCTTTTTCTAGAAAATATTCATGAGTTTTCAATTGTATTCCCGTATAAATTTATTTCAAAAATTATTATAATATTATATTACGATTAATATATATGTTTTAATTATTAATAAAAATATTTGTATTAACAACATTCATTAGTGAAACTGGACAAAAAGACCCTCTTGTTTCATCACCATGGAACGATATGAGTGCCTTGTTGGGTTGCACATAGCACTCCAATAAACTATGCCTCATCAGCAGAACTGCCTTTCCTTGTTGGGTTCACGAACTGCTTTTCCTTCAAGAATTAACTACTTTACTGGGCAGGCTTTGAGAACAAATGGGGAACATATAGTTGTTGGCCGAAATGCCTGTCTTGCACATAGTAGAATGGAGCTCTAGTACTTGCAATGAAATGACAGATGTTGGCATAGGGCAGAATCATCATGTTGGAAAGAAAAGAATAAGGTCCAGCACCGCAGATATAATTGAATATTGATCAATTGATTTTGAGATGTCCAAACTTGGCATTTTCAACAATGGTTCGCACACCCAAATGAGTGGCTTAGGTGATAAGGTGCCTTTAGTAGTTGATGGTAGCAGATTTCTGTTGAGTCAAGGACAGAGCTAAATGAACTGGTGAAGATGACTGAGTAGGGAGTGGCAGGTTTTAAGTGATGTTTACGTGAAACACGAAAGGTGGTAACATACAAGATACAAGAACCTCATGTTTCACTTCTATCAAGGGAGTTAACCAAATCGCAAGAGCCTCTCAGAAGAATGATAGTATCCCCGTCATCTGTCAACAAGCAATTCACACACACATTCACATATATATGTATATATAGAACCAGCCGCTCAACAGCACCCAAGAAGAAAGCAATCCTATGACACTATTCATAGAGTCTGTTCAAACCTTTCTGGGCTGTTTTAATTAGTTAACTCCATTCTTAGTTTAGGTTCAATCCTGCCTGGGCTTTAAAATTGAGTGAGCTCTATCCTGGTGGTAATAGAAATAAGGTAGTATCTTATTTACAAGGGATTGCATAGATTTGTGCGACCCAAAGAATCAGATCACTGTCGCAGTTTTTTTTTCCTCCTTTTTGAGGGAAACAGGAAGCTACAAGCTGTAGCGGCTACCAGAAGCTAATAACCACACTGTCAGCCATTAAGACACACCTGATTACCCATAGGAGGGGAGGCAAAATCATGTAATCCAGGGAAAGAATTATCAAGATCAGCCATGAAGTCAGCACTTTGATACAATTTTGGCATGGAGTAGCTGGGACGGATCTCCTGGACCCAAGTGGGACAAGGATGAAACAAGATGTCGCCCCGACAAATAAGCTTCGACTGTGATCCTTGAATCAGACTCGATGAGGACCTGTTGAGCCCTCAAGACTTTAACAGCCGAATACCATAGCGAATGCCAAACAGCTCAGCTCGGAGAACATCACAAAACTCCAGTGAAGATTTTGCTAGTTTCTGTCAGAGTAAAGTCTATTCTGAATCTGAAAGCTTAACACAGCCCATAACAAGTTGTTAGTGTTCTCAAGCTTGTAGGTACCAATGCAAATTCTTTCAGAAAAACCATGAAGCAGGAAAACATCCAACTGACTGGAGTTTTAAAATTAATGGACTATGTTTCCATGGCAGAAAGTATTTTGTTCTCCTATGCAGAGTCAGCAGCTCTGAGACAAGTCAACCTGGCTCCAGAGTATCTCAGCATAAGCTTTCTCCTCTGGACTTTCCTCTCCAATGCACTCAGCTTCCACAACTACTTCCTCCTCGTCATCTAAGTTATCTTCCATTATTTCTGCCTCTTCAATACTCTCTCTATCTTGCCCAGCTTGTTCAGCTAAAAACTCCCTCATTGCCCGTGCAGTCGCTGGTCTATCACTAGGACCATATTTTGGGGGAGGAACAACAAATGGTAACATGATATCATCCAAGCTCGAGCTCTTTTTGTTGGAAATATCGACAGCCTCCGGTGGTGGGAAGACAAATATGATCCCTAGTTCATAATTGCACACATGAAGCCTTGAGCCTAGAGGAGATGAGTTTTTACAGGATCGACCTCCTTTCACACTTGATGGACTTGAAAGAGTCCGTCCCCAGGCAGCTGCACTGAAGTTATGCGATCCACAATAAACCCAACCAAAAGAAGTATCCACGTTGGACTGGAAGCGCCTCCGTGCCACCTGTATATGTTATTTTCATTAATTTTTCTTTATACAAACAAAATTTAAAAGGATTTAATGTAAATGTTGTTCTACAATAACACTGTTAAAAAAGGTTTTGATTGCAAGTCCTTAAGCTGCAGTGCTGGAGTTAGCAGTGTGAGCTCTCATCTCTAAAGAATCTCATATATTGATGAAGTAGAAGCTGTATTCATAAATTTAAGCAGATTCAGCTCTTTCTACCTTATTTGACTTTTGTATTATAAGGAGTGGAGAAAAAATCCCGGAAGAATAAAGATGTGGATAATGGGCATGCTAAGCAATATTATTAGGACTCTGAAAAGTACTGGAGACATGTGAACAAGTTTGAAGACAAGATGATGATAATCATAAAGCAAAGTGATAGTTGAAACTGAAAAAAGGGATGCAAGGGAAAACAATTGTAAAATTTTAACTTCACTGGAAATTTTGAAGATAGTCACTGAGGCATCAATAAAAATTAGAAAGGAGTTAAAAATCACTGGGAACCACCATTTACACCACAGGAAAGAAATGATCTTCCATTTTTCATTTGGAAGGAAGTGAAATTTTTCTAAAAGAATCAATGTAAAAAGTAAAAAGAGGAAAAGATTATAGAACCAATGTCCAACTAAAGACCTGAGGTTATCAACATCCCTATACTGTTGTTTGCAAGGCATGGTGAAACAGCAAGGACTAGTTCTTTGTTTCAGGGATTCCCAAGTTTCATTTCTGCCAAGAGGCCAGGTAGACAGATTAAGATGGAAAAACAACTGCGATTTTTCTTAAAATTCAACTCCTGTCGACCAAAATTAGTTTTCCATGATTTTAGTAAAGCAATTGACGAATCCATCAAATAGTAATTCAGGAACATCTCATTATTCAGAAAGAGTGAAATATTCTCACCTTGGCATGCATTGGAAACCCAACCCTATCATAGGGACAAGGAATTGCATCATGAAGTACACTCATGTGTCTCAGCCTTTGCCATGTTTTCTGTATAAGATGCACATAAACATCCACAAACAAGAGAATAATTATACTTTACATATAATCTTTGTATTTAATCCCAACATAAAGAAAGATGATGGCCTTCTCCGAAACAAAAACAAAGCCATAATCCACTCTTTTCCTTATCTTTGCTCTATCATAGTCGTGAAGAACAAAGTGCATCCACATTCCTCAACCTTGCAGGTTTTCCGAATATAAACATGTCTATAGACAAGCTTAGTCATTGATTTCCTTTGATAACAAAGAAACATATAAATTGTACCAAATCTGGAAAGACATAAATAAATGTACTAACAATCTAGCATTTTTCAATAGCAGAGACTGCAACAGGGGTATAAATGATAATTTTTTCCCCCCTTTTTTACTCTCTGGACATTATCTGATAATGCGCCTGTGGGAGAAAAACAAAAACCTTCAAGATACCTTCCCTTAAAATACCAACTGCACCGTACCTGTAGCATTATCTATCACGTTCATATTAGATGCAATGCAATAATCTGTTAGGCCTTGTTTTTTATTAGATAAAGGTTTCCTGATCAGATGCAATGCAAGATATTATCTTTTAGGCCTTGCTTTTTATTATATAGACGTTTCCTAATACAGTAAAGCCAGGCATATTTTGCACTTAATGACAGAGCAGGACTTACCCCTCAAGATGCCCCATTTTAATCCCTCTTCACCAGTGACATCGATAACACATACGGAATCTAGTAATTTCATCGTAAATATTAAATGAATCTGATTAAATCCCATAATACCTCTGAGAAACAAAGAATTTTATTTGAAGGCAAAACTCCATCATGTGCATTCTTAACAGTTTCAATAGTGGGAAAAATGATTCCGATGGATGGAGATTTCAACTCCTGACTAGCACTCCAGCAGGCCCACTGTCAATAAAAAATTAAAACAGTGAATCCATGTTTATATAAGTTCAAATTTCCATGTACATGTTACCTCTGGATCAGATTCTTCAGATTCAAAAAGTCGCAATGATCTCTTTCCAGCTGCGGCTGCAAATGCAGCAAGAAATTCGGCATTCACTGACCCAACTGAGGACGACCCTGAAGAACAGAATATAATGGACTTGAAACAAAAAGAAAGAAAGCAATATTTTCTTTTAATTTGCCATATATAGTTAAGATACAACACATCCCAAAATACACTCACCATAGACAAAATCAGATTCTTGTGATTCAGGCCATTTGTACTGACTAAGAACCTTGTAAAGAAAAGAAAACACAACCAATAAGAGATTCTGCCAGATAATTTTACGAGCTACTATTTTTTTATTGTGATGACAATAGAAGAAGCATTCTTAGGAAAAAGAAGAAATAATACAAAAAGAGAGGGTAAGGAATTCTCTTGCAGCACCCATAGAAACAAAGGAATAGAGAGGAGGAAAACCGATGAAGACAGCAGCCTAATCCCCTTACAAAATTCCTAAAGAGACACCTCTAACAAGACCATGAGCCCTGAACCAAAGAGAAACCAAAAAAACTAATATGTCCCAGGACACCAAAGAGGCTTGAAATTGATCTTTGAAGACATTAGCACTAATGCAGAATGAACTAGGTTTAGATTTCCTGAATAGATTAGGAACTATATGTCATAAAAGAATTGAGAATTATAATTTTTTTAAATATAAAATTTTATTATAATTTTATTAATTTTAAGATTTTAGTCTCATATACATAATTATTTCTTAATTTAATCATATTTTAGAAAGATTAACTGGGAATCACTACAAATAGCTTTGTAATCTCACTTTTGAAAGGATGTCCAGTTACTTAACAAAGAGTTCTTGATAATTTTCCCAATCTTTTTTTAAATAAGATAATTTTCTCAATCTTACTGGTCGCATGACAACCAAACTCATAAGTGTTTAAGAAATCTTAGATGTGATATCTAACTTTTCTCTTCAAATATCTAAGTAGGCAAAATCATACTAATTTGTCATACAAGTTGGCATGAAAACTAAAAACTTTCTACATCTCTCAGCAACAGCAAACCCATGAAGTTACTGCAAGCATAGATAAGGATGTAGGCTATTTGGCTCACTAGCGAGGAAAATATAGGAGTAATTGCATGTCATTATTCGGTTAGGAGTCTATCAGGTATTCCATGCTTGTATAAATAATAGATGTAACAAATATTTGAAATCATCCGAGAAATTCAAATTACTAACTAATTTTGTTTGTTTCCATTATGTTTGGTATTGAAGAGAATGACCAAACACATAGTGTACTAAATTCTCATTAAGAAGTTCGGAGACCAAGCATTTACATCATTTTCACTCCAAAACTCGTGCACAAGTTTTCTCTAACCATGAGATAATAATGCAAAATAGCTTAGGTTTAGATTTCCTAAATAGATTAAAAATTACAATTATTTTAGATATAAAACTATTGTACTTCAAAAATCTATTATGATAATTTTAATATTTAGTCCTTTTGTGTACTTAAGTTTTCCTGTTCTTTTTTAGATTGAAAATGAAGATATGCTGATAAGAAGAAAAGATACGAAATGGAGGATAGGGTATTCACCAACAAAAAACAAAAAAGGTGAGAAAGAAGAATAGTTGGTGAAGCTCTATATAGAAATGATAAGGGAACATACTTAAAATGTCCATTGGCCTTGGCCCAAAAAGAAGCACGAAAAAGAAGAATTTATCCCAAAGAACTAGAAAAAGTGATGCGCAATTCAGAAAGATTCTGGCCCAAACTGAAGTTTTTCGATTCTTGTAAATATTTTAAATTCTACTCCGGAAAGGTTATTTGGGAATCAGAACAAATGCCTTCCAATTTTGCTTTTGAAAGGAGGTCCGGTTATTGAATAAAGAGTTCTTGAAAATTTTCTAGTATTCTGATCATATGATGAAATTAAACCTTATGTATGATGCTTAAGAACGTAAGTGTGATATCTAAAAAACCTCAAGTGTGATACTTCGATCTTATCTTGAAATCCCTATGTAAGCAAATTAGTCCTATTTATCCTCCATCAGGAATCCCTTTCCAACCACAACACGTTAAATCCTAATCTTACCACACTATTACAATAAACTGTCTATTTGAAAGAGAGAATTTCTTATCTACTTGAAAATGTAAGTAAATAAGTTTCTGCAGCAACATGTCCAGTAAACAAAACCGTCTCCTACCAACACAAGTTTCAGCTGACCTAAGCACAATTACTATGGATCAATAGCTGAACTTGAAAATTTAAAATTCTTCCAATTTGTTAATACCTCCTGCAGTCTCCATATTCCAGTACACCTCTGAATTGAAGCAATGAGAGAGCATAAGGCAACAATTTCTTGTGATTGAATCATCTTTGCTAAATCTGAAAAGCAAGGGCCCTGCACAAATCAATGTTGCATCCTTCATATATGTCCAACTCAAATCTTAGAAGAGCATTAAGTATTTTGGAGAAAGTTGTTTCCCTCAGAAGATACATAAACAAACAGCAGAATACCATGCCTGTGATACGTGTAGTGTCAGTTGTACTTTCTTGTCTCCTCCAAAAGCTGCTTCAAGGGCTTCCTTGCGATAAATATATCCATAGAATCTGAAGAATCCAACATCCCATAATGGAGAAACCCACTTTGCAACATTTCTTGGTAGAAATCCTAA